TTCTCTCTCTCTCTCTCTCTCTCTCTCTCTCTCTCTGCATCATTTTGATGGTTGGTCATGGCCCTGATGAACCATGGTTTTCCGCAGGCCATCAGATTTACTATATACTATACTTCCCTTTGTATAAGGACACTATTAGTTCGTTATCTTCTTTCTTTAACAGTTTTTTGGGTCATCAGATTTATGCATTGTGGATAATATGCTCTTATTTTTTGCAGATTTCACGCCTTATAGAGGCAGTTTTAGTCATCCAAGCAGCAACCAAGCAACCCCTCGAACGAGTGCTGCTTCCTTGGCAGATCAGGCATCCATTCCCAAACCTTCTGCTTCTCCTTTGGAGAAGAAGAAACTTTCAGACTTTTTCAGGGTGAAATCAGAGAGTGAAATTGTTGTTCCTGAAACCCCCTCACCATTACAGCCTTCTCTTGCTAGTAACCTTAGTAATGGCGAAAAACCACTAGAGAGTATTAAATCAACATCTACTGAGAAAACTGAATTTACAAACATGACACCCCTCAGTGAGAGACATGCTTCTTTAAAGGACCACAAAGAAGAGAATGAGAAGAGAGTTAAGGCTAAGGCGAGCCAGTGTTGCTTGCCCAGCCTGGTTCGAAACGTTAGCTTTGGAGAGAAGAAGAAGCTGGCAAGCCCCAATGGCCAGATCAAAGGATAGGAGCTGTAATCAATCTTAGAGAGAATTTATGAAAACTGGTTCAGTGGGGTGATGGAGAAAGCCCTAACATCAAGCTTGACGGTTACTTGAAACAGTAAGATGGCTTTGGAATCCACCCTGAGCAGTTATATTTTCTGTTGGATATTTTTCATGTCATGTTTTTTCATAAAAAATAGGAATATGGGCCTGTGCTAGGTGTTTCTTTAAGAAACTGTCTGCTGGATGATCGAAAGAAGATGCAGACGTGGTTGCTTTTGTGAAAATTATAATGTGTTTTCAGGATAAAAATATCATGTTTAGAGTTTTTGTTCATTAAATAGTACTGTGAATGATATTCCAATAATATACGGAAAAGAAAATCTTTACGTAAGTGAATTTATTTTTTTCCCTTCTATTTTGCATTCCGTGTTTTGATGACAACTGGTTTTTTTACTATGTCCGATATGTGTTTGAGAGTCTGATATGTTATATCCCTGGATAGAGCAATTTAGGAATGGATCCATTCATAATTCTTTTCATGAAATCTTTGATGTCTCTCAAAAAGAGGATAAAATTGTTATACCCAAGAACAAATATGAGTTGGACTGAGATTATTGTGATCTGTGGTATTTGTGTACTTCATTCAACTTGCCAATTTCCGAGTATCGGCAAGCTGGCCCAAAATGTTGAGAGAAAAGGAAAAGAAAAAAAAGCTTGCCCAAAATGTTGAGAGAAAAAGAAAAGAAAAAAAAGCTTGCCCAAAATGTTGAGAGAAAAAAAAAAGGTAAAGTGAAACCGTAAAAATGTGATTTTGAATTGTCAAAGATCATTGAATCACTGTTTCAATAAAAAGGGATTCAAAAGATGCAAAAAAAAATTGAACAATCAAAGTCGTCAAAAGAAATTGAATATTGATTCATTCATGTGAATTAGAACTCATCAAAAAAGAATTTGAAGATTGAAAATCGTATTTTGTATCAGTATTTCCACTGTCTTGATGGCCAGCTTTTCAATTGTCAAAATATAAACAATTAACCATGATCGGAACACCCGCTCAATTGTCAAATTTGTAACTACAGCACAGATCCAAAGAGACGGAGAGTTCAAATTCAGAGAATAACCCTAATTTTCAAATCTTTGGACTCCATAATAATAGGCATTCAATTTGAAATCTTTAAATCTTGTAATTTTTTTTTTTGGCTAAGCAAACAAAGAGCTTTTAACTAAGCTGGCAAGGGTAGCTGAGAGATTGATCAATACATGAGATAAATAGGAAGTGTACATATATACTTAAAGATAAGGAGCTCTTAGAAGCTCGTTATATAAGTGATGTCATTGCAACTCTCAAAATGCTCTAAAAGCACAAAATGACAATGTTATATGTCATTTTTGACGTACTTGTATCTCTAGGATGTATAAGGAGAGAGCTGGTAGTAACCTGGTCTCGTCGGTGCCCAAAACGCCGCCAGACCACGGGAACACTGTAGCAATAAGCCTAATATTGGGCGACATCTAAAGAAGTGTCAGAATGGCCTCAAATTGTATGAGAGGGTAGTTTTGGATGCCCTAATGACACCCATAAAGTTATGTCGTGTTCTGACAAGTTTTGAACTATCACGTTTTGATAAGTTTTAAGCCAATTAGTTTTCAAATCTAGTTCCTATCATGATGAAAATAGACTATATAACTAACTACAACCCTATTTTCTGGATCTCAAAAAAGTGTCAGACTGCCGTCATTGGATTCAGAACGTTGAAAAACTCCCACATACCAAATTTTGGTTCAATCGGACCCTTTGGGATTATGGGCTGTGGGTTTTACAGTATTGTAGTACAACCTCGATGAATCTGTGTTTTCTCATTTTAGGATGAATTTCAAATACTCACAAATTGCTCATTTTGGGTCCAACTAAACTCAAATTCAGGCACAAGCTAGATCTCGACGATACGCTCGTTTTGACATATGACATGCATCATGACGTGACCCAAAACGAGAGAATTCTTATGGAGGAGATGGGCTCAAAACATGAAAATTTAAATTTTAAAAAACGGAACATCTCATTCTTTGAGAGGCTATAGCTCAAGACCCCGATGTTGGATCGTCCATAGTATAGGTCCATTGCAACTGTGCTTCGAAGAGCTTCAGTTTGATATGGTTTTTGTGTATAATCGGAGGCCGGATGACACCAAATTTTGAGGTTGAAGAAGACACATTTTTTGATCGCCGAAATCACATTTTCAGGTGACCTCCCAAATTTGGAACGCACTCAAACGAAGACCAAAATGGATGAAATTTATCACAAAATGATTGTAATAGTATTATCTTCAATTGTGATCAAAATGAAGTATCAAAACATCACGAATCGTGCCGAATCGGTGGTCGAAGATTCACAAGTTTATGGACTTGGTTGGATTTTGGGTTCTTCCTTAAAACTTCGATTCTACGACGTTTGATCGCTCGAATTGTCACTGTAAACGTTCGAAAAAAGCTCCCGAGGCCTAGCAATGGCAAAAGCCCCCTCTTGGTTGGATGATTGTATCATTTCATAAAAAGTCCTTAAGGGTATTTTGGTCATTAATTTCAAAAACGGGATTAATATTTTTATTCATTAAATATATAATTTTCAACAATTCTAGAGGTTTTTGAGTATCCACCCATATTTTAAGGTTACTCTATATAAGCAAAGTGAAGTAATTTGTAATGAACTCTTGAGAGTTTTGGAAATTAATGAGAAGAACTTGAGAATTCTAAAAGCTTAGGCTTCTTCTTTTGCGTTGATTCCAAACACAAGACTCAATGAGAGAGCAGAGAGAAATAATTCCTAGAGAAAAATTGCCCTTGGTACCTCCCACTTCCTAGAACCTCGAAATTCCACTTCCCTATGACTCCCAAATTCCAATCCTATCTCATACACCCTACACTCTACCTTAGTTTTCCTATACCCTACCCTACTCCATATACCATAGTTTATCCCATATTCCTTAGTTTTCCTACACCCTACCTTACTCCATACACTATAGCTTATCCCATACCCCTTAGTTTCCCTACACTTCACCCTACTCCATACACCTTAACCTACACCATACACTCTAGCATCCATACATCCTAGTTTCTATACACCATACCTTGCCCTAACCCACTTAAGTCCATACACCTAAAGCCTAGACTCTAGCCTTAACCCACAAGGACCAAGACCTCTCTCTAAAGTGATGCAAAAAGACCTTTGAATGCATGCTTACGTTCAAGCCCATTCTAGGTCTACTCTGTCTCCTCTCTCCACTATCTCTCCTATTTTTCTCTCTCTTCTCTCTCTTCTTTTTCTCTCTTTACTCTCTCTCTTCTCTTTCTTTCTCTCTTCTTTTTCTCTCTTTCTCTCGTCTCCTTCTCTCTCTCTCTTTCTCTCTCCACTCGAATCCAGAGTCGGTATGAGCTTCCCCTTTCTCTCTCTTATCTCTCTTTCTATCTATTTCTCTCTCCTCTCTTTCTCTTTCTCTCTCTTCGCTCGGACCTAAGGCAGGTCCGAGCCTCCCCCCATCTCTCTCTCTCCCTCAGTGTTCGCAAAATCAAACCGGAATGGTTAACCAGACATGGGCCAAGAAGCAGTTTAACCGGCTTAACTAGTAAACCGGCCGATTCGACCGCTCTAACCGGGCAAGTCCCGAGCGGTCAAAAAAGTGTT